TGTGCTTTGCCAAGCTTGTTCCAAGTAGGTGCTTTAGACCACTGAGCCATCTCGCCAGCCCCTCCATTTATGTTCTGAAAGTGCCCTTCTCACATGTCTTTGCCAGGCAGTACTGTTTACCCTTCAGAGTCCGCTCTGACACCAGTTCTTCTAGAAAGGCTCCCATGAGCTGAGCTGTCTGTTGGGTCCGGTGACCCTCACTCACGTCTTATGTCTGCACCTCCTTATTCTTACCTGACACCATCCTACAACATTGCCTTCTGTGCATCCATCTGTGAGTTTTTATAGGGTAGAAGACACAGTAAATATTAATATTAATGTTAGAGACACAGTAAATATAAAATGAAAACCAACTGACGATATTTATTCCATCCCTGGATACCTTAAAACCTGCTAAGAAAGCTAGATCAGTTAACACATTCATGTTCTTACAATAAAATGTGTAAATTTAGACTAGACCACAATAGAGGCCAACAAATAACTGACACATAGACACGTATATGTGGCATTGCAGATCTAATTCTCATATTTCAAATTAAGAAATTGGCTCTGCATAACGAGAGACAGAGGATCGCATTATCGGTAAACCAGTTCTAGCCAGAGCCCTAGGAAGGAAGCATCTCAGTCGCGCTCGGCCGCTCTGCGGGACCCTGAGGAAAAGCTACACCAGGCCCGCCACCCCGGGCGGGCGAGACCCCAAGGAGCTGCAGGGCAAGACGTCCTCCTACGCCTTCTTCGTGCAGACCCACCGCAAGGAGCACAAGAAGCAGCACCCCGACTCCTTGGTCAACCTCATCGAGTTCTCCAAGAAGAGCTCAGAGAAATGGAAGACCGTGTCTGCCAAGGAAAAGTTGAAATTTGAAAATACGGTGAAGAGTAGTCAAGCTCTCCACGCCAGGAAGATGGATACTTAGTTCCTCCCAAAGCTGGCACTATGAGAGGAAAGAAGATCCAAACACTCCTAAAAGACCGCCATCTGCTTCCTGCCTGTTTTGCTCTGAACATCGTCCAAGTTCAAAAGGGAACCTCCAGGCTTGTCCTTTGGAGATACTGGAAAGAAAGAAAAAAAAAAAAAAAAAAGATAAACAACCATGTGAACAAAAAGCGGCTAAGCTAAAGGAGAAATACAAAAAGGATATTGCTGCATACCGTGCCAAAGGCAAAAGCGAAGCAGGAAAGAAGGGCCCCCGTAGGCCAATGGGCTCAAAGAAGAGTGAGTCAGAAGAGGATGAGGAGGAAGTGGAGGAAGAAGAGGAGAAGGAAGAGGAAGAAGACAAAGAGGAGGAGGAAGGTGATGAATAAGTGGCTGTTCTGTAGTGGCACGTGGAGTATATGTGTGCTCAGGCAATTGTTTTGCTAAGAATGTGAATTCAAGTGCAGCTCAACATTAGCTTCAGTATAAAACCTGTACAGGTTTTTGAATAGCTCATAAAATCCTTTGTCGGTGGTAGTCTGATAGGGATTGCATTAAATCTATACAGCAATTTTGGAAGTATGGCCATCTTCACAATGTTGGTTCTTCCTATCTAGGAGCATGGAATATCTTTCCATTTTCTGAAATCCTCTATGATCTCTTTTTTCACAGTACTGTAATTTTCCTTGAAAAGATCTTTGACTTCTTTAGTTAGATTAATTCCAAGGTATTTCATTTTCCTTGGTGCTTTTGCAAAAGGTATTGTTTCTATAATTTCCTTCTCAGTGTGTTTGTTGTTTGTGTAGAGGAATGCTATTGACTTTTGGGTATTGACTTTATAACCTGCTATGCTACTGAATTTCTGTATTAATTCTAGTGGCTGACACTGACAAAGGTTCTACAGTCTGAGGTACAGGATCTCAGGATAAATCCTGAGGGCATTTCACTGACCTTATCAGACCCAAAAACTACAACTCTTGTTGCATAGGTCCTGCTTTACCTTGGTCTTAGCCATCCAGCAGAAAAGTATAAAAACGAAATATAAGAAGTAAAGCCATGCTGTTATGTTGAGCTGTAGGGGACTCAGGTCAACAATTTCTGACATTGCCAGTTAAGCGGAAGACCCAATACTATTGTGGGCTACTAGACTCTTTTAGAATATTTTGCTGAGTTTACAACTATAATATTCAAATAATGGAACTTAACCAAAAAAGGGGATACAGATGAATGTCCATTTTGTATCTGTGTATTCAAAGTGGTTAGGATAGATATGTAATTACATTCTCTTAATGAATAGAGTGATTTGTTCTACTGGTGTTAGGATATGATGTCCGGATCTTGTACAACAATTAACCAGTAGGAAGAATGTAAGCAATGTGTTAATTATTGAAACTGTCCTACCAATTTGATTTGAAACTATCTCATTGCTATTTGTTTATCAATAAAATTATGGGAAAAAATAAAAATAAAAATAAATTTAAAAAATCCTTTGTAGAAAAAAATACTTTTTTTAAAAAATCAGGTTGTAGCTTTTTGAGGAGCTACTACATACAGTTAGATGTTAAAGCTTTTGATGTTGAGTGTTCCTAAATATTTAATGGTTTCTTTCATGTGTATGGTAGCACAAGGAATTTGCAGGAACTAGTATCAATAGTAAGTTTTGGGTGTTGCAATTTTTTTAAATTTGTAATAAAATTATGTATATTAAAAAGAAAATGGTTCAAATATAATTAATTACAATGAACATTTAAAAGTGATAAATAAGGCATTAAGGTTCAAATCTCAGCACCACATGGTGGTGCACAACTCTAATCCCAGCAAAGGGGAAGCTGAAAACAGGAGGGTCACTGTGAGTCTGAGCTGCAGAATGAGACCCTGTACCAAACACATAATAAAAGAAAAGAAAAAGAAATGCTAAATTATTTGGAACATATTACTTGCTTATTTATTTGTTTATTTATTGTACCTGGGATCAAACTCAGAACCTTGCACTTAAAAACAGACACTTATGATGCTGAGCTATCTCCTTGGCCCTTAACTTTGCAAAATACATGCTAGTAAATACACATCTGCAGTACATAATGACTGCATACATTGGGGGGAGTTGCTACGTGTACATCATGTGTTTTGTTTCCTTTTCCTGAGCCTTCCCTCCTTCACATTCCCACTTCCCCCTATTTCTTAGTCCCCTTTCCCACTGGACAAGGTCTGTCTCCCTGTTTCCTGTTACTGTACCTATCATTGTTTTTCTCTTTAAATCATTAACTCACCTGTATTTCTTCTGATTATGGGAATTCTTAGGAAGAAGAAAAGCCTCAGGGAGAGAGAAGCAATGGGATTGACATTGACTGAGATGTATTAAATGGACATTCCAACTTCTGCAAACAGACCCTGTCCTCATGTATTTAAAAGCTTTTAAAAGTTAATTCTTATTTAAATACCTGTTTTTACAAAAGCTCAGCTTGTACTGCTTGTGTTATTGAATGAGACCTATTTGGGACTAAATAAGAGACTAGATATTTTTGGCTAGAAAATTGTTTGTGGCTGGCCATTACTGTACAGTTCTTAGTGTGCTTATACAAATTAAAGTAATCCCATTTTAAGGTTTTTTTTTTCTTTTTGGTTAAAATAGTCAGCATGAATCACTTTCCTTGACAATACAGTTATATAGAAAAAATTCTACTCTAAGTCTGCTATCAAGATAGTCCACGAGTATCTAACAAATAGAGCTACCTTTAAAATACATGATAATTAAATCTATATTTTTAAAAGAAGCATTATAAAGGATTTTGAAATATTTGAGATTAAGCACATATTTTGTAAGTAAACAAAAATGGTTTCTCATGTGTTAAAAAGTATATGATAATTCATATAGCTACAAAAACAGTATATGTTAACTCCAAAGAACAGCTTAAAAGTAAATAAACATTAAAATGTGTTTAAATTACATTCTAAGTCAATCTAAACCTATTAATCATTTAGTCCATGTTAATACTCACCTGTTGACATTTTAAAATCAATTTTGCATTTTTCTAGCATTTTATAGGGAATTTCTTCTGATTTTATCAGAAATTCAATAGTGTTCATAATTCTCTTATTGGCATCCAGAAGTTAAGAGTAGTGTCTCCAACAGCTTTAATTCAGTGAAGTTAGAAAATTGTGTAGGAATATTTTAAGAGACTTATAAATGAATGGTATCATATATTCTAACTCAACCACTAGAAAATATGGCCTCTGGGTCCTGTCCACTGAGAAATTGAAGGCTGCAGCAGAAGAAAATTAAATTTTCATTTTCTAAGAGATACTCTTCAATTATGAAATAGTTTCGTTCACTTGCTCATATTAATGCCTGTTACTAAACTGGGCACAACTAATTACCGAACATCCATTTTTTCCAGGAGTTTCACAAGCTCCCTCTGCGTGACTAATGCACATATAGAGAAGTTAAATAGCTAAGTAAGGTAAAATTGGTTTCCCTTTTGAACAGATTGAGATTTTTCAAATACTTAATGCAATCTAGTAATCCGTGGCAAACTATCCTCCCTCTCCATTTTACAGCAGTGGGTTCCACTCAACATTGGATGAAGGTGGTGATTTGTGTGATCATCCAGATTTAGGGTATCCTTAGACTTACTCCAGTGTCAGTCTTTCATGATTTTATAGATTTGTTCATATAGAGAAAGTATTTTGAAAATGCAACCCTGAATCTCTGCAATTTAATAGTATTAGTATATATTAAAAGCAAAGATGCAATAACTCAATGATAGTTATTCAGTTGTTTTGCAGATAAAAAAGACTAGGAATGGACATGTGAGAATTATGTACATTGTTTTTATCTTTGAATAACAAATCTTCACTTCTAGATTTTACTTGATTTCAACGTACATGATTTGTCTGATGCCAGATACTACAAATAATAACATAAATAAGAGACTAGATTTTACTAATTTAAAATGAAGGTAGCAAGGATTAATATAGTTATTTAAGGAGGCGTACACCCATTACTGCTAGAAAGTAAATATGCCACACCTTAATATCCATGCTGGTGTGATGTTCCGCATAACTACAGTAAGTAGTATCAATGCTGTTGGCCTTTACCATGAGCCCTCAGCATGCAAACACTATCTTAAGCCTTGTGTAACCCTTGTGTAACCCTTTTGTTAACAATGCTCTGAAGTACATATGTCATTGTAATTTTCCACGACTCCAAACTGAGGCATGAAAGTTAAGCAACTTGCTCAAGTTCATCTGGATAAATTGTTCATCATCTCCTGACCAGCCAGCTGTGAGAGTGAAAAACAAATCAAGTCACACAGAAGAAGGAAACAGAAGCTACCACTGACCCATTCCTTCACTTTCCCGTAGTAGATGGGTGAGGATCGCATAGACCCGCATCTCTGCTCTGCCAGCTGTTAGCCGTGTGGCCCTGACCAAGTTATTTCATCTTATGCCACTTAGTTCCTTCTTCTGTTGCCTGAAGATAATAATATATAATGTAAAGGGCAGTAGAGATATTTAAACTGTTTTTAATGCTCTTAGAACAATTCCTGGTATACAATAAACTCCACATAAGTGTTTAAAGATTTACATAATAGCAATAACACATATGCACATAAACACTGACGTTAGGCCATTGAGTATATTCTCTAAGACATCCTGTATTTTCCTCTTTGTCCCTTTTGTGAAATGTGAACTAAGACAATTCTATTTTCATATTAATCCTTACTTTTGATAGAGAATAAAATAAGCAATGTAAAGTCCAAGTTTAAGTTATATGATAGAGTAAAATTTAGTATTTATATCCTTTTCCTCATCCCAGGTTTTCTTTCCCATTGAGCGGATTCTTTTCCTTTCACAGTATCTATTGTACCTTGCAGACTTTATTTACTCTTTCAGGTTCTCATACTAGTGAGATAGCACGATGTTTTCACAGGCAGGTCTAATTTGTTTCACTTACCTGTACAGTCTCTAGTTGTATCCATTTACTTATAAAAGCCTTGAATTTATCCTTTTTATAGCTGAGTAATACTCCATTGTATAAAAATACTTCATCTTTTTTATCCATCCCTCAGTTGATGGGCATTTGGGTTGTTTCCAAGATTCATGTGCTGCTTATTTCTCCTGGTCTATTTTTTTTTTTTTTTTTTAACCAGGGATTGAACTCAGGCCCTTGCGCTACAAGCACTTATTCTACTGAGCCATCTCCCCAGCCCC